ATACTCCTTCTATCAGAAATCATCACACTGAATAAAAACAAGCTAACCCGAAAAAAAAGTGGGTCATTTTCACGATTAAAAATATGTGTTTAGTTAAGATAAGAATGTGAAAATAAAAAACAGAACACATCATTTTATCTAAACATCATGCATAGACTGCAAGTTATAATTGTTGGACTTGCGTTTCTCTTTTGTGAAAATGTTAACTTATCCTCGGCAACTATCTGTTATGCTGTAAAACCAATTTACAATTCCGAGTATAATAGAATTTAACCTATCAATTCTATTTGCTACTGTTATTCTTCTTTTATAGAGGTCCACTCTATGGAAGTATTTTTTCCTACAATCCAGCATCGTCAGAATTTCTATTTTTTGCAAATTTCTCATTTGAAATTGATGATAATAGGACATCTATGTATTATTTTGTACCTGGTCCTGTAGCTATCGTGAATAGTAGTTCTTCATTGTTGATGTACATGCCTGTACAATGTGGAATTGGACCTCAACGTTTATTTTTATTCGTTTTTGATATGGACAAGAAAATGTATAAGCAAAGTCGATGGATTTTACATAATGGAGATTTTGCCTATCTTTTTTATGATCCTCAACGTCAACGCTTATTTGGATTGCACGATGATTTAACATCTACACTATTTATTGAAGAATATAATATGACAACATTAGATTTTATTCGACACTATACTCAACAAAATAGTTCACAATATTCCGTTCCAAAAGCTGGTTGTGCAGTGTTTGATTACGAAGAAAATTGGATTGTAGAAGTTCGAACACGAGTTGAAACTCCTTTGATAAAAGCATATTTTATTAAAATGGATTTAAATCTTGTTGGGAAGAAAGAAGATATTGTTACTGATTTTCATCAAATACCAAATATTGATTTTCTTCTTACGATGACTTATGACATAAAGGCAAAAACTATATTGGGAACACGATTGCGTGGCTTGATTGCTAATGATCTTGTCATGCTCTACATGAATCCTTACACAAGTGAGATTACTAATGAAAACCTTCTTTTGAAAACGCCTAATCAATGGGTAGTGAAAGATATTCAAGCCATTTATGATGAATCAACTCGTCAAATATTATTCATGATTCATCATCTACACTCGGCTACATTGGAAGATATATATTGGATAATGTTCGTTGACTTTGATACAATGGAAATAAAAGAGAAGAAACAAGACAGATCGATACAACTATTTGAAACATGGGAACTATTCACTCTATAAATATTAAATTTCATTTTAATAAAGAGATCAATTCAAATAACCTAAAATATTTTTGAAATACGTATTTGATACTAATATCAGATTTTTATATCTTGTTTAGAGACAGAAAAGATACGCTATAACAATGACACAAGGTCTCAGAGGTGTTGTTAACGATGATATATCGTAAATGCCTATATGTTAAAGACTAGTTGAACAAGAAATTAAAAATTCTTGAGAATGAATATAGTTACCACATTACCAGGTAATTCGATGATGCTTGTATCTTCTCAAGTGGCACAAACTGGCACTGTTAACCCTCTATTGAAAGGATGCTATTACATCAAGCATATAGTATAGACTATCTTAGTTGACCGAATCTAATCTATTAAGAATTTTGGGTGTGAGTGTGGGTGTGGGTGCTAGTGATGAATTATCCTTACCCACACCATTACCTACACCCACATCCGCCCACACCCACACTTGTGATGAAGGATGATCAACTATCTCCTAACACAAACTGGTCTGGTGTACCGGCTAAACAAGTCACCTAAAGTTTTCTGATGAACTTTTAAATGACATTTTTCATTATTTCATATTTTACTCTAGCATGTTTTTCCTTAATCCTATAATCTTAATAAAAAGCATAATCTCACGTTTTAATTCTATTTTGCGTAACTCGCATACATTTTCGAAGAAAATATAGTGAATGAAAGTTTAAATCGAGCTTTTGCAGCGACCAGTCCCGCTCAATTGATGTCACTGATTTCGTTGAAATACTGGGAATTACAATAGAGGTGCTCTCGAGTAAAAAATGACGATGATCAATGCAGTACCCATTCATTGCATATTTCGCCATTTTTCAACAACAACGTTTTTAGTCATGAAATGTTGTGGATATAATTATACTAGCAAAGGTATCCTACATACTGACACACTCAAAACCAGTTTTCGGCATATTAAGCACTATCGAGGTATGCCGTAGGTCCTTGATGCACCTTCTCTCTTCTGACCAGGATTTCTATCGCTTATGAACGACTTATAAGCTTCCACCTTAGAACTACGTACTGTTAAGCTTTAGATATTAGAAGAAATTCTCAGGATTTTGAGCTTTTGGTTTTTACCCAAGCAAAAAATCTTTTCTGGTGTATATATAAGCTAATTTGGGTAAAATTCCAACCCATTACCAGATCAACTGATCAATCGAGGTTATCAGATTTTGCTCATTTCAAGATTATGCCATGAAGGGACCACTTTTATGACTTTTGACGCAAGCAATTTTCAGAAATATTGGACTCTCGACTTTTTATGAATGTTTTACGAAATGTTCTAAAAATGAACGTTTCAACCAAGAGAGTCTTGACGGGACTCTATCTGAAGAATGACTGGACCGATTTAGCTGAAATTTCTTTTATACATATATCTTCATGAATTACATTCAGAATAAAATTTGTAACGGAAAACATTCAATCCTTACTTCAAAACTCGATATTCCAGTCATAAATAGAAATTAAAAACAACGAAAATGTGATTGTAGAGTTCTCTTTCGAATGGAACTGTACATTCAGTTTTGGTTCAAAATTGTAATGCTAGAATAGTTTGACGATAATTTTCTTAAAGCGAGAAAAATTACTTACATATGCACAAAAAACCTCTTGCTTCGCTGTGAATGTTGAACTTAACGCGTTGTAAAACTCTCAAGGAACAATGTTTTCTCTGAAATTCATACATATTTTAGAAAATGTTTCCAGACTACAATACTACGTGAAAATCTAAAAATCTACTTTTACCATTTTCTGAGTGGGAGCAAGGCTTGATAGTTGACGAACACTTGATCTTCAGACAAACCAGTGCTCACATTGTCTTGCCAGCTTTTCAATGCCGAAAAGTTTTTCATATATCTAGATTGCAAAGCAATTAAATTTTAAACAGCTTTTGAGCATGACAACTATTATTTCAATTGTATAGATGTTTGTATTCTCTCTATTCCTGCTAGTTTCGCAGCGAGTTTTTTCAGTACTAATTTAAACTCATAATTCTGTAGGCGTTGAAAAATATTACTGGCACAGAAATACTTCCTGTGCACTGTAAAATACATTACATTGACCGCTTACATTATGCATCTGACATCACTATACGTACTCGAGATAGATAGTATTATAAATTTTTCGTGAATTAATTAATTTTATATTCTGAGCTGAAGTTATATGTTCCGTTTTGTTCAGCATGGACTTCTTTATTTAATAGCATATAGAGTATCCTTAATTTATGATTTTTATTTGCTTTCGACATTTTATAGGATTCTTGTACGGTAAAGAAGACACAGTTCAAGTACGAGCATTGAAAGTATAAGATTAATAAAAAAAATCATTTGCCTTACAATTTTTGAAAAATCTCTGCTCAAACTATCTTCTATACTTTGTTATAGATGAAACTCGCTCGAAACATCTAAGAAAGCAAACCGAAATTAAGCAATTGTGGACATTCCTGGTACTTTTTTCGATTTAATGTTTTCTTCAGAAATCGAAGATAAAACTAAAGGTGATAACAGTGTTTTACAGCATGAAATAACTTGAGGATGTATGCCTTTCAAATAGATTACAGTGATATTTAGATACTCTTAGAACTTTTTCTCTGCAATGAAGCTCCTCAGGCTTCAAAGATCATTATCTTTGTCACATTAGTGTTTGAAATATCCTTGGCTTTGATCGATTTTTCTCTCGTTATCAAAGTTTGTACAGATCTATTTAAAAAAAACATTCCACAGAATACTGTTTCTTTAAGTCTGTGCAGAATTCACTCTACGAATATCATTAATTGCAGAGAAAATTAATTTTTATCGATGGTTTACTCCTATGGGTACATCTGAATTTTTGTTTCAGAATTGACTGGCTATCATAATTATCATCCTGAAGATCTGATTGCTAAATGCGAGTTTCGCTCGACCGTAGATTTATCGTATCAACAATTGACTGATCAAGATATGGCAATTATAGTCAAAAACGCAATATTTAACAAGCAATGCACAATTCTGAACTTGAATTAAATCTTGATGGAAATTACCTGTTTGGCATGGGTGTAACTTTATTAGCAGAAGCACTTTCAACCAAAAATATGGCTTCTAAAATCCTTCATCTCGACTCAAACGATATTTCAGCGATGGGTGCTGAACATCTAGCTGAAATGCTCAAAACTAATCGTACATTGATTCAACTTTGTCTGAAAAAAAAAAGTAATTAGCAATCGAGGTGTCGACGTTTTAGCCAATGCTGTGGCTCATCATAATACAACGTTTCAGGAGTTCTATATTAGTTTCGATTTTCCTGTTGATGACTCGAGTATTGATTCCCTGATGATAATGATTGAAAACAATCAATCTTTAAAGACACTGTCTATAACTACCGGCAAAATGCTCAATGAGCAAAAAAAGAAACTTCAAGCGGTTTCATCATTGAAAAATAATTTTCAACTGTTTGTTTAATAAAAAAAACAAAAATTGTTTTATTAAGGTACATTTCATGCAGTTTGATAGAGACATAATAAGGCAGAAATGCATAATGAAATTAATTCGATGAATATTGACTATTTGTTTGAACTGATGTTGAACAACGAAAACATTCTTTTCTTCATTTTGTATTCTTCGAACTCAAGCTGGAGTAGTCCCTCACGTCTTTGCTCATTTCTTACTGAGATGTGAACGTGAATATAATGGTATTAATCAAAGAATTCAAAAAGAAACAATCATGCCACTAATCTACAGAAATACGTATGATTTTAAATAAATGTAATGACATGGATGTTCATAGTATCAGAACAGGAATTACATATGCATCTTCCAATAACCGATTGGCTATTCTATCGTTAAATTATTTGACTTTCTCTCCAGACATTGTAATGATTGTATACCCGAATATTTATACAAAAACAAAATGTAGCAAGATAGTAATGATCCAGAAAATCTTTCTCAATATTATGTCATATTATTACTTATCCTTACTTTGCCTCATATAGCTTATTTTGAAATAGCAATATATAATTCTTATCAAAAAAAAGATACATATCAAAATAAGGTAAATGTGTTTATTCTGTAATCTTGATCATTTCGATTTCATGATGCATTCCGTTTTCACTGTCATGGATAAGTGGAGGAAATGAATTCATGTAATCAGATTCATTCCATACATAAACATGACGAGTCTCAAATGAAAATTTTAAAAGCACATTTAAATCGATCTTCATGAATCGCTATATTCGTTGTTGGTTTTTTTCTGCTTGTTCTGCATCTTCATAACCGTGTTCTGTTCATTT